TTTGTCCTGAGTCAGGTGTTGTGCTGATCCATACAGACTCGTTACAGTTATTCAATAGGGCGGCACAGTGGTGCAGTTGGTAGAGCTACCGCCTCTCAACGAGCAGGTCTCCCCGGTTCAAATCCCGGCCGGGGACCTTTCTAGGTGGTTTTTGCATGTTCTCTCCGTGCTGTGTGGGTTTTCTCCAGGTACTCCAGTTTCCTCCCACAGACAAAAAACATGCATGTTAGACTGACTGGTAACAATAAATTGTCCCTAGATGTGAATGAGAGAGTGAATGGTTGTCTTGTTTGTCTCTATGTGGCCTTGTGATGGACTTGAGACCTGTCCAGTGTGTCCCCTGCCTCTTTCACAGTGACTGCTGGATATGGGCACCAGTGACCCCCATGACCCAAAAAGGAAGAAGTGGGTAAACATAATGGATGGACATTATTCAATAGCAGATGCACATCCAATGATTACTTTCTGTAGGTGTTGTTAAAACGTGATGTTCATGAAAGGTGTTTGTAACTGGCAGAAACACAAACATCAACATGAGTAAACATAACTGTCCGCCTTCACTTTGGGAAAGAAAAATAATCATTTAAACTTGGAAGTTAAATTCTTGCAGTTTAAGTCAGAAAAATGTTCACCAAACTCCCTCCGTGTTGACATTTCAAGACTGTTCGAACATGAGGTAACATCTGGCAACATAGTTAGAGATATCTCAGTGTGGTACTGTATGAAGTCATGCTTCTTGTAGCTCTGTGTTTGAATAATGCTGGGATTACAAACAAGCACGAGCAGTTACCTGCTTCCTATACAGTAGAAGCGGATCCATGTTGAGGTGTACTGACTCAATTCTAAACTTTTTCAGACAGTAATCGAGTAAAGAGCAAAGGAATTGTAATGTGTTCATTCAGACTCACCCTTCATCACAAAATACTTGAATCACATCACCAAACAAAGTACCATTAGGGATGTGAAACTGCATATTTGGCTGTGATTTAGGAACACCACAGTTTCTCTCTGCAACATAAAAACAGATGTCAGTAGAACTTCACCGATGCAATGACCCAGTCGACCATCTTTGAAATCAACCATTGTTTCTGCCTGAGGAGTGACTGTCAGAATCAGAATAAACTTTATTGGAATTGCACCGAGGTACAATGTGAATACTGTTTGTGATAAACGAGATAAAGCTCACTCTTGCAGACGAGATCTGGTTCAGTCCATTTCTCACTGAGGCACGTTAAAATCCCAGAGCCGCTTTCTTTCACATATCCGTTGCCGCACTCCAGAGTGGCATCAGAACCGTCAGGGAAATCATTCTTTAGAAGCGTGTCAGTGGTTGGGATCATGTTCTCTCCCCCCTCAGGTTTAGGACAATCAGCTGGAGGAGAAAAACATGACAAATAAAAAGACATTGGTAATAATATATTCATCTGAAAAAGGGTAAAACTAGTCTCAGGATTACAAGATTGTGGCACTGAAAGCTCCGGCAAAGTACAAGTCTCTTTAGCTTTCTGTGCTCCATGTGCTACACACCATGATACCAAACAGCACAGTGACTACTTTTCACCTTTGTAATAGGCAGAATTACAGGTACAAGATTAAAGATGCCAGTGGTGCTGGAAACACCTTAGCTCAACATGTCCCTTTGGTCAGTATGTCTTTTCTAGAGGTGCCATGCTTTTTTTTTGTCAAGGTCAGTTTAATAATAATAATAAATAAACAAATGTAGTGAACCAGATAACCTCAAATATACCAGATGGACAGAGACTGTTATTTTCATTGATCTGAATAAGTCTGAACCATCTGATGAACTTTCTTTCTTGAATTAATCAAGCAGAAAAGACAATCCTTTATAATCATTGCTGTCTTACAAATGTTTTGATAATCAAATTGTGTTAGTTCACTCAATGCTTTACAGGTTGAAAAGAACGACTAATTTTTATTTTACATAAACAGTAAGTAATGATTTTTGTTCCTCATTCAAAGCAGAAATCACCTGAATATGCCTTTCTTGATTTCCTGTCTGAAATGAGCAAACTGTCGTAAGTATGTGAAAGGTTGGTCTTCGGTCAACTAAAATGTTTACTGAAGAAGAAATGTCATGTTTTACTTTTTCAGAAGATTACAAAGTGTGAGACTCCAAAAAGTCTGCTGCTTCTGCAATAATCTTTTCTGTATGTTAAACAAGTTTCATTCTCTGACCTCGACTGTTGATAAACAACTTACGTCAGAAACCACTCCTCTTTCTGGTCCTTCCACGAATCAGAAAGCTCTAAATTGAACAGGAAGTCGACCCAAATAAAATGTGGCAACTTCTCAGTTCATGTTAGAGTCCAAGAGTCTGGGAGAATGAGAAGAATTAAGAATTCCAGAATTCCAAGAGAATGAGAGTTCTGAGAGATGTTGGAATGAGAGCTGACAACAGGTCCGATAGTCCAACAGAATGAGCAGATTGAGAGTGCAGCCGGTTATGAAGAGTTTGGAGTTATGAAGAACCAGGGACGTTTTGGGATTATAATTCTGTTTTGAACTAACCACGCACGACTCTCCGAGGATTTCTAGCTGTTCTGAACGGAGGCGCTGAAACAGTCTGAAGGACTCTTACTGAGCTGATCCATCGTCAAGCCAGGTAAAGATTTCCTCTTCGACTCAAGTGTACCGTGGACGGGCTGAGGATCTGACGAAGCGTGCAATTTCTGGTTAAACAGATTAAACTTCCCTCACACAGTTCTCTGTAAGATAATCTCCTTTCACTCTAAAACCCACCTCTCTCTCATAAATCAGTACAGATATTTTAGAAATATCTTAAGCAAAGTCCTCAAATCACCGCCGAGTGATTTGAAGTTCATTTTCTGTGAAACTGTCTGTTATTATTTTCATATTTTGCCAAATTAATGTAAATGTTTGATGTTAAACTTTGATTTTGAAAATAAATGATTCCATTCATTTGATGGGTCAAAGATAAATAACGTCTCTCGTTCACATTTCTGTTAAATTCAATGCACGGCATTTACAGTCAGAAAAATGAAGAACTCGTGAATATTGTATGCATATATAATTCATATATTGTGTCATACAACAGTGACACGTACCTCATGTACATCACTACACAAACAAACAAACAAACAAACAAACAAACAAAAACAAACAAATAAATAAATAATAAACAAATAAACAAATAAACAAATAAACAAATAAATAAATAAATAAATAATAACAATAATAATAATAGGGCAGCACGGTGGCGCAACTGGTAGAGCTGCTGCCTCTCAGCGAGCAGGTCCCTGGTTCAAAACCCCGGTCCGGGGACCTTTCTGGTTGGAGTTTGCATGTTCTCTCCGTGCATGCGTGGGTTTTCTCCGGGTACTCCGGTTTCCTCCCACAGACCAAAAACATGCATGTTAGGCTGATTGGTAACTTTAAATTGTCCCTAGGTGTGAGTGAGAGAGTGAATGGTTGTTTGTCTCGTTTGTCTCTATGTGTCCCTGTGATGGACTTGCGACCCGTCCAGGATGTACCCCACCCCTCGCACAGTGATTGCTGGACATGGGCACCGGCGAGCCCCGTGACCCAAAATGGAAAAAGCGGGTAAAGATAATAGATGGATGGATGGATAATAATAATAATAATAATTTTCTTCTTTCTGCTGCTCCCTTCTTCAGAGGTTACCACAGTAAACTAACTTGCATGAATTAAACTAACTTGCAATTGTTTTACACCAGATGCCCTTCCTCACAACCACAGACCACCAAGCTCCCACAGCCCTCTGTGTGGAGCAGAGAGCTGCCATGTAGGGTGCCCAGGGGAGCAGATGGTGGAGGTTAAGGGCCCAGAGTGGGGCAAATGAGGGTGGAAGCAGGTGTGGGTGCTTCAACTTTCCCACCCACATTTTGATGTTGTCGGTTCTGTCGTAACCGAGGGGAACCCAGATTTGTATGAGACCCGGAACGAGACAGACTCAGGTGGAATACAAAAGATACGGTGTTTATTTACAAGAGCAAAAGACAACAGTTCTGGTACAGCTTCTCTGCAGCTCCTGGAGGAGGTAGAGGAGGACAGTCAGGACGAGGCAGAGTTCCTAATAGCTGAAAGATTGTTTTCTGTGAATCTCTTACAGTTTGATCCAGAGGTGGGTTCCAATCCTCCGGGGAGCTCCAGAGAGAGAGTCCAGTGGCTGGCAGGGCAGGCACTGGCCGGATTAGAGGCACCAGGCAAGAGGAATCCAGGCACAGGAGAGGTTGAACCAAGGAGGGACCCAAGGGGGTCTGCAAACCAAGAACAGGTCACGAGGAGGTCCAAGGAACCAAGAACAGGACACGAGGAGTCAGGAATCAAAGGATCACGAGGGGTCCTTTAAACAAGCCGAGGAATCAGGATAACATGGAAGGTGATATGCTCCAGCGAAGAGTAGCACTGGACTGCAGCCTTTTGTAGTAGGAGAGCCTCCTCAGTCTGATGGCCGTCAGGTGTGATTAATTAGCGGCCATCTTGGAGGAGGAGCTGCAGGCAGTGGTACTCTTACAGGTTCGGGGAGTTGAACCAATGACCTTCCGATCACAGGCTCACCTTTAATAATAATAATAATAATAATAATAATAATAATTCCATTGAACCGAAATTCAAATGCAATGACTGATTTTCTTTAGTTTATATTTATTTATTTATTTATTTTATCATTAGCAGCTTTTATCGTTTTATTATTTGAATTACCTTAATGGGTTATTCTTTCTTTAACAACAGCGGTTTACAACAAATGCATTCAAGGTAATAACATTACTCAAGTAAAATTTCCACCGATTTAAAAAGTGAATAAACTTCTGACAGTCGGCGCCAGAGTCAGTTTATTTTTTTATTTTCAGTAAAGGCAACATGTGAGCTGCAGATCTCACGTGCACATCTTTAATCTGCTCCGTGGCTGCTGCTGCTGTGTCACTGACCTGCTACGTTCCCGACGAACACGCACATTAAGATCAGGGACTTGAGTTGTCTCTGCCCACGAGTGTCCGATAATAAAACGTCCATGGCGAGCTGCACGCACACAGATGGAGGGACAGGATGCAGCTCCTGCAGTCAGTGTCCGACACTGAAACGTCTGAAGGAAAACACCGAGACCAGACCGGTCCACGACTCATTTGTACTGACAGCTGTCAAGCGAACTACACAAGCACGCTCAGAAAGATACTCATTTCAAAATAAAAGCACCAACTTCTATTAAGTGCCCATTGTGAGCAGAAACATTGTGGAACTGCTGGTTAATTTCTCCAACACTTAGGCTATTTATTAGTCTCAAAATTTGTGCAGTTAAAAAAGTAAAAAACAAACAAACAATAAAAAACGAACATAACATTAACTGAGCACTTTGCGCTGAGACTGCAGGGTTACTTTTGGTTTCTAGAGTTTCTAAAAGTAGAATGAAAAGTAGAGATTTCAGTTGTCAGCTTTCTTTCCTGTGGAACCAACCTCTAACTTCTGTGTGTAAGGCTGACCCACTTTTCAGACAAGGCTGAAGACATTTTTTTTTGTGGTAAATCCTTTAGTTAGGGTTGACTTGGGTTTCCGGCACTACTCCCTGCATACTGCTATTGGTTTCTGGACAGCATACTGACCACACGTCCATGCATTGCTGTCTTTATTTTCTATCCTCCATGTTTCAACATAAGTTTTTATTTTTATTATTTATTGTTTTTGTTGTCACTAACTTGTATTTTTCTTTGTTTTGCATGCCATAGAAACTACCTGCACCATTCCTTCTGTTGGTGGTGGTGGTGGTGGTGGTGTGGGGGGGGGGGGGGGGGACAACAAAATGAACACAATCCTGATATATTTGAATTGGCCTTTGAAAACGTACAGTATGTTAATGTATTGCATTACTATAGGAAAATAATTACTTTAATTAGATTAGAATCTACTACAAATAATGTTTATTAATTGGACTTGATTGTTTTTCTATTGGGGCAGCATGGTGGCACAGGTGGTAGAGCTGCCGCCTCTTGGTGAGCAGGTTTCCCTGGTTCACATCTCGGTCCAGGACCTTTCTGGGTGGAGTTCGTATGTTCTCTCTGTGCATGTGTGAGTTTTCTCCAGGTACTCCGGTTTCCTCCCACAGACCAAAAACGTGCATGTTAGACTGATTGGTAACTCGAAATTGTCTAAATTGAGAGAGTGAATGGTTGTTTGTCTCTATGTGGCCCTGTGATGGACTTGCGACCCGTCCATGGTGTACCCCGCCCCTCGCACAGTGATTGCTGGACACGGGCACTGGTGACCCCCGTGACCCAAAATGGAATAAGCGGGTAAAGATAATGGATGGATGGATGGATGGATTGGTGAATATAAGGTTTAATTATGAATTATGGAAAATAGATCATATAAAGATGGCTAGAATTTTTGTTAGATGTGGCCATAAGCCAATAAATAATATTTTTTCAAGGACTGCTAACTTTAAAATCAAACCATGACACGTTCTGCTGTCAGTAGGAAAATAGTGCCTTATTTCTAATGAGGCCTTTACTGACAAACAAAACATCAAAAAGGTTCTTGCTCAGGTAACTGAAATTAAATTATAGTTCACATCATTTTAATGTTGGTGGGGATCAAAAAATAATTAATAATGAGTAAAAGAGTAGCTTAATAGGTCAGAGTGACACTGGCTCTTAGTGGAGCTATCTAAAGACTTGATAATGTAACAGGTTGCCAAGGGGATAATCAGAATCTCACAGTGTTTGTAAGATTATGTAAGATTGGTGCTTGTAATGTCACAGATTCAGTGGAAAGAGATGACAGCTAATGTGTCCCTGGTTGATTGGACTGGGACTTCAGAGAGTCTGTAAGGTGTTTACTGGACAGGAATTGAAAACAGGAAATGTCACTGAGTAGAGAAAAAGAGTATAAATGTGGCAACAGACTTGAGCACCTCAGAATTGTACATATGGTCCCTCGATGTCAGGTAATATTTATATTTATACAATTTTCTCTTGTTCACGCATTTTGAAGTCTGTACAAATATCCATCCATCCATCCATCCATCCATTTTCTTCCGCTTATCCGGGGTCGGGTCGCGGGGGTAGCAGCCTAAGTAGGGAGGCCCAAACTTCCCTCTCCCCAGCCACTTGGGCCAGCTCTTCCGGGGGAATCCCGAGGCGTTCCCAGGCCAGCCGAGAAACGTAGTCCCTCCAGCGTGTCCTGGGTCTTCCCCTGGGCCTCCTTCCGGTGGGACGTGTCCGGAACACCTCACCAGGGAGGCGTCCAGAAGGCATCCTAAACAGATGCCCAAGCCACCTCAACTGGCTCCTCTCGATGTGGAGAAGCAGCGGCTCTACTCCGAGTCCCTCCCGGATGATCGAGCTTCTCACCCTGTCTCTAAGGGAGAGCCCAGACACCCTGCGGAGAAAACTCATTTCGGCCGCTTGTATCCGAGATCTCATTCTTTCGGTCACAACCCAAAGCTCGTGACCATAGATGAGGGTGGGAACGTAGATCGATCGGTAAATTGAGAGCTTCGCCTTTTGACTCAGCTCTCTCTTCACCACGACAGACCTGTACAGCGCCCGCTTCACTGCAGACGCTGCACCTATCCGCCTATCGATCTCACGCTCCATTTTTCCCTCATTCGTGAACAAGACCCCAAGATACTTGAACTCCTCCACTTGGGGTAGGACCTCCTCCCTGACCCAGAGAGGGCACTCTACCCTTTTCCGGCTCAAGACCATGGCCTCGGATTTGGAGGAACTGATCTTCATCCCTGCCGCATCGCATTCGGCTGCGAACCGCTCCAGCGAAAGCTGTAGATCACGATCTGATGAAGCCAATAAGACCACATCATCTGCAAAAAGCAGAGACGCAATTCTGAGGCCACCAAAACGGATCCCCTCAACACCTTGGCTGCGCCTAGAAATTCTGTCCATAAAAGTTATGAACAGAATCGGTGACAAAGGGCAACCTTGGCGGAGTCCAACTCTCACCGGGAACAAGCCCGACTTACTGCCAGCGATGCGGACCAGGCTCTGACACCGGTTATACAGGGACCTAACAGCCCGTATCAAAGGGCCTGGTACCCCATACTCCCAGAGTACCCCCCACAGGGCCCCCCGAGGGACGCGGTCGAACGCCTTCTCCAAGTCCACAAAGCACATGTAGACTGGTTGGGCAAACTCCCACGCACCCTCCAGGACCCTGCTGAGAGTGTAGAGCTGGTCCAGTGTTCCACGGCCAGGACGAAAACCGCACTGTTCCTCCTGAATCCGAGGTTCGACTATCCGACGGACCCTCCTCTCCAGAACCCCCGAATAGACCTTACCAGGGAGGCTTAAGAGCGTGATTCCCCTGTAGTTGGAACACACTCTACGGTCCCCCTTTTTGAATAGGGGGACCACCACCCCGGTCTGCCAATCCAGGGGAACTTCCCCCGATGTCCACGCAACATTGCAGAGTCGTGTAAGCCAACACAACCCTACAACATCCAGAGCCTTAAGGAACTCTGGGCGGATCTCATCCACCCCTGGGGCCCTGCCACCGAGGAGCTTTTTAACCACCTCGGCGACCTCAGCACCAGAGATCGGAGGGCCCGACCCAGAGTCCCCAGGCTCCGCTTCCTCAGTGGAAGACGTGCCGGTGGGATTGAGGAGGTCTTCAAAGTATTCCGCCCACCGACCCACAACATCCCGAGTTGAGGTCAGCAGCACACCACTCCCACTATAAACAGTGTTGGTGGCATACCGCTTCCCCCCCCTGAGACGCCGGATGGTGGATCAGAAACGTCTCGAAGCTGTGCGGAAGTCGTTCTCCATGGCCTCTCCGAACTCCTCCCATGCCCGAGTTTTTGCCTCAGCAACCACCCGAGCCGCATGTCGCTTGGACTGCCGGTACCCATCAGCTGCTTCCGGGGTCCCACAGGCCAAAAAGGCCCGATAGGACTCCTTCTTCAGCCTGACAGCATCCCTCACCGACGGTGTCCACCATCGGGTTCGAGGGTTGCCGCCGCGACAGGCACCAACAACCTTGCGGCTCTGTACAAATAAAGATGGTTATTTAATTCTGACATAAACGTGTGTTCCTTTCGAGCAAACGATACGGGCAGGGGAGAGGAAAAGAGATCTTTGCTTCCCCTTACATAGTCTAAGTTAATACAATTTAAACACTTTTTTTGGCATTTACCTTTATGTTCTTTATCTTGTTTGGAAACGCGTCATGTTTATCTTATTTTGAAAGGTTTGACAGGAAGTGATATGACTTCATAAAACGAGAACGTCGTGGCACTTTGTCCATCAAAAACTGAGTCATGTTTCAAAGTTTTCAGTTACTGTCTATTAAAGACTGGACTGTGTTAGCTGTAGAAATGATTAAATGTTTTATTTACTCTGAACCCCTCACGTGGACCCACACTGAAGGAGCCACAAACATTTCCCTGAAGCATTAAGGCAAAAATGTGGAAAATCTAATCTGGGTGTAACCTGATGACCAATTTAAAAACAATGTGAATAAATCACCATTTAACTCACTACATGTGTGTGGAATTGAAATAACATTTAATATTATTGTCATAATTAAATCAGTGAAACGAAAAAAGTTCGAGGATTCAGAGTTTTCATAGAAACCTGAAAGAAACTGAGTCACAGTCTGCGGCTTGGATCATTGTTGTGGATGCACTCAAGCCTTCCTTTTCTCTCCCTCTTTTTCCTAAAGGGGGTTGTACCTCATTAAAACACACACACACACGCACGCACGCACGCACGCACGCACGCACACACACACACACACACACACACACACACACACACACATTCCAAGGAATCCAGCATACCTTTTTAACCACAAGTGAATTGTCCGGGCCTTTTCGTTCCTCCACCCACCGTTGTCAGAGAAACCTTCAGACATAAAGAGCAACAAAGGTTTCTTGGCCTGTTTCAACACTGGTGATTTTTTGTTTTTGTTTGTTTGTTTTGTTCCAAAGCTGTGACAGAACACCAGGACTGGAGTTATTTTTGTAACTTTATGCTGAGGTGAAAGGCCTCATGAAATATTTG